TGACACTTTATTATGTATTTGGCAGAATAAGTACAATGATCAACCATGATTATCTTTTAACTATTTTAGTGAAGCCGTAATATGTGTTTAAATTAACTCCAAGTTAATTATCTTTTTATCTATGATATATTGTTATCTATTTTGTTCTCCCCAAATTAGTCAATATTGTGTCACCCTGACACCCCTCCCCCCATCCCTGTGTCAGTTATCTTGCACCAGCTGTGTCACAGTTATCCTGCACCAGTTGCACTACAAGGGGACAGTGTAGCCCACCTATACAAAGGGGTAGTGAAGCTCACATATACAAGAGGCAGTATAGCCCATATTTAGAAGAGGAAGAAATGTGTAGTGACTTCCTTTTCACCGTCACAATCACAAGTTATTCTCTTCCTAAACATATAAAATCATTATGCTTCATTTTTTCTATTGTTTTGGTTCATTAGATTGTGGACTTCATAAGTTTAATTAACGTGGAGTTCTCTTTCTAATCCTACACAACTGCCACAATCTTTGTATCTCAGTTGGCTTACATGTATTAGAAGGATATACTAAAATATTATTTGCTTATATTTTTGATCTACCAAGGTCTCGACAGGGACAGGAGTCCTGCGGCTTGTCAAAGGTACCACCATTGTTCATTAGGCTTCAGTAGTTGTACCCTAAATGTACTCATCTAAATGAGGTTGCTGGGTCGAGGTTTAGCTCTCTAGACCATGTTGATGCAACTATTGGTCAATAATTTAAATGACTTGAATTTGTTATTGTGGAGCGAACCACATTTAAATTTCCCGGCGCGTCATGCCAGGAGGTGACTGGGAGGGCGGCCGCGGCCACGCCACGGCAGTGCACACCAGCACAGGGGTAGGGACACTGCTACTCTCACTCAGCACCAGGGATCTGGCACCTGAGACCAGCATATCACGACTCAACCTGTGAACTGTCGGAGCTACCAGGAAGCCACGGATAAGACCTGTGAACGACGTAAGATACGAGGTGAGCCTCACTGTCTGTATATTGTCATCACTCGCGTGGAGGCGGCGCCATTACCACAAGCCCTCAACGCCATGTTTCTCGTCGCGTTTTCAATGGAAGGAAATTATATATATATGTTTTGGTATAAATAGCCTTAGCTACTCTATCCCTTTGAGATGTATTTTATTGTCTCGATAAACGTGCTTAAACTCTACCACCGAGCTCTACGTGCACTGTCCAACTACCTGTACTAACCTAGCTGGGTTTACATATGTCAAGCTTCAGTTTCTGGGCCCGCCTTCTAACCCTCACTTAACAGTCATAGAAAAAATCTGCTATATCTACTTTTTAACTTACAAAGTATAGTATACTCGCCCTAATGTAAGAGAAGCCTAATGAAAAAAATCATTTCAAGATGATTTAGACTTTATTTTTTAATTTTCGAAGAACTGGCAGATGTAGTAAAATGCTGACTAATGTAGTGTTCTGAGACAATGAAATGATATCCAGATATACAATAGATTATGTTGATATCAAATTTAAATGCAAAAATGGGTTCTATGATATGTAGGCCCGATGGATCTTAAGAAATAATGTATACATCTTCAAAAGAAATTTAATACTAGGATATTTATCAAATTAATAATAAGACAAAAGTATATACACTGTGAAGTGTATATACTGCTAATATAAACGTGGATGAATGTAGAAAACTGAACTTTTCGCTGAATATAAAATTTCTGGATGCAAATTATTTCATACGCATCAAAAGATTTAGACGAGAAGGGGGAGGGACTAGCAGTGTATGTCAGGAAAAATTATGTCAAAGAAGGGATAACAAATTAGCCCTAACGGAAACTATTTGGTTTTAATTAAATTGAAATAATAATAATAGTTTAGTTAATAGGAGTTATATACAGAAGACCAAACTTCGACAGAGAGGAAGCAAACCATAAATGTGAAGAAATATCTAGGTCAAACAATGTGTTATAGGTGACTAATTTGAGTCAAATAAACAGGATTAGCAAAACAGGAAATGTTAAAACAGAAGATTTGTTTTGAATTAGTTGATGAATGCTTCCTTAAATGACATATTAGAGATCCAACAAGCGATTCATAGAAGTGTAAGCAATAAGACCTGCTGTTCTTCAGGCCTAGGAATATTTATGTTTGGGTTTTAGATTTATTTTTGTCCGCACTCAATAGTACAAAATTTTACTATCTAATTGTTCATTTATATGTAGGATGGTCCACAAAATTAGAAAAAAATGTACAGTACTATCTAAACAGAAGGATAGGTTAGAATGTCAGGTGTTTGTATAAGTGACAGGTGTTGTCTGTACGAGTTATAGGTATTGTCTGTATGAGTGTCAGGTGTTGTCTGTATGCATGTTATATGTTTTTATGTGACAGGTGTTTGTATGAGTGACAGGTGTTGTGTGTATGAGTGACAGGTGTTGTATGTATGAGTGACTGGTGTTGTGTGTATGAGTGACAGGTGTTGTCAGTATGTGTGACAAGACTTATCTGTATGAGTAACAGGTATTGTGTATGAGTGACATTAGTAACTCACTTGAAGACTGAGAAGACAGGAGAGCTCCTATTTAATTAAGGAGTTACAGCTGTTATTATTAAGGAGTTATTTATGAGTTATCAGTTATTAAGGAGTTACAGCTGTTATTACTAAGGAGTTATTTATGAGTTATCAGTTATGAAGGAGTTACAGTTGCTTTACATTTGGTACTGTTGTTGATAATTGTGCAGAGATCATTATACAAACATTATAACATTGCTACATGTGCCCTTAACCTGTGAATATTGACAATACATGATAGATTCTTGGTGCACATCATTGTCTACACTTCATAACCAATTGTTAAGGTGTCTTGTATAATTATTATATATCCATCTCAGGTAAGCCAGCCTACCTTCCCCAGCTGACCGACTGCACACTTCAGACCTGGCCGGTCAGTGAGTCAGCGCTGGGGATCTGATGAGCAGCGTGAAGTTTCTGCCACCCTGCTGCAGTGTTGTGAGGCTACCGGCGTAGGTGAGTACAGCGATGCGTTTGGTTGTACTGTTTAGGTTGAGCAGGTTGAAGACAAATCGCCAGTGTTTGTGTACGTGTCTGGTGAAGGTGTACTGCATTAACGCACCGTCCACAGGTAAGACGTCCACTGTCACGCCGGAAGAGGTACTGCATCATTGAAAATACTTATTAACCCCCGGGAACTGAAAGGGTAAATATTTCAAGTGACCATATTGTGTTTGGGTTTATGAGGTGTGAGGTAGCTGGTGTGATCTGTACCTCACCCTTCCAGCCTGTATGTTTAACGAGTTGTGAGGGAGATAGTGTGCTCTGTATCTCACTCTGCCAGCATGGAAGGCTATGATAAACAAGTGGGCATGTAGAGGTATAGAGACCAATGAGACCATTCGTTTCTAACAAGTCGTTTCGTTTGATGTCGGGAGAGTTTATCATGAGCAGGTCGGTGGTCATCTTACTCGTGTAGTATGTATTGAGCTGTATTCTCTGGTTATTGTCGGTGGGGAACACTGTGTGTTATGAGGTACAGTAATACAGGAGGACAGATGAATATCTTTCGTTAATTTCCATACTAACAGACTTTTTCGAGATAATTCACAATAATCAATTCTTAAAAAAATGAAATTACTAAGCAAAAAGTTAGCTATTAAAATTATAATTTTTTTTAAAGATTTATAAAAAGCTATACCAATTAAAGAGACCAATACAATTAAATTTTATCTGAACATTTTAGACTTAACAACTTACTTGCAAAAGACAGTTTAAACTCAAACAGTGGAGACAAGGACTCTTGAGTTATTCAACTCATGTCTCATTTTAGCAATGTAAATTGATTCCAAGATGTTAAGTTTTAATCTAAACGAGCGGAAAGTCAGTAGTGTGATATTACTGCAAGTGTAAGGGTGACTCAGGGCTTCACAGTGAGGATGCAACTTGGGTACGGGGCCCACCTGTATGGTAGGTAATATCCATATGTTCACAGACGCTGTGATTATGATATGGCGAGATATTCCCCACTTTTTTGTACATTACAACTAAACACGTAAAATATTATAGCTTATCCTCATAAACGTTTGATGAAATGCGTGTTAATTCAGCTGCTAAATCCCCTGTTTATGACTGGGAAACACCATACACACGACTTGCAACTAATTACCTTCAAAGTTTTCTTGTTTTTTTTTTATTGTTGCTGCCGGAGGCGGCTAGTGTATTGTGCACCCCATACTTATCCTGTGAGCGATAGCGCAAAAAGCATTACAGAGGGCACAAAAGGCCGTAAACAACCTGTCCTCTTAAAAAGAACGTCGCTTTTGGCCGTTTGCCCATATGGCCGAATTTGGACGTAATTTGAAAATGAAAAAAAATTGAAAATAATTTTTTTTTTTCAACAACAGTAAGTTAAGGGTCCTCTGATAGGTGAGGTGGGCAGGAAATTCTCAAGTTTCAAAACGTTAATTTAAAGTGTCCTCTTATAACCTCTGTGCGTACGCCGGACGACTCAAATAGAAAACGGAACAGAACGTCACTTTTGTGAGTCGATTTCATTTCAAATTACGTCCAAATTTGGCCATAGCGCGCATACGAGCGAAAAGTGACGTTATTTTTAAGAGGACGGGTTGCATTGAAAGCGTGCGAGTACCGTTGAGGAGGTCCTTCAGGGGACATCTATGCTCAAATCCGAAAAATTTCGAAAATTTACGAAAAACTCTGAAAAATACTACAACGTTCTGGCAACACTGTGGTGCAACCCGTTTTATGTTATCTTGAAAAATAACGTAATTAGAGTCAAATTTCCCGCTGCAACTTTCGTGAATCCGGTTCTCGCGGCCTGGGTGCGCCGCGGGGTGTTGTGTCTTACGTTGTAGAAGTCTAATATTTCGTAATAGCGTGGAAAATAACGTGTTATGCATAAAACGAATATAAACTCACTCATTGGCAACAGTCTCGTGTGAGAGAGGGGTGGGTATGCTGCAGCCCGCTGCCCCCCCCCCCCACAATCCCACCCTCTGCCACCGCACATTTTCCACCTTCTACTCCAGGTCTTGCACCTGCTACTCCAAATCTAACTGGACTGGTACTTGAACAAAAAGGACAAGGATATGCAGAGACCAACGAGACGCAAAACCAAACCAAGAAAGGCCCCAGAGGGGGCTGACCCCAGCTATGGTGCAGGTGCCTACTAGTGCCACTCCAGTGCCACCTTGAGGACCCATATTTCTGACCAATTATATTAGGTTAGTATGTTTTAGTGTTATATTGTGATATTACTTCATAAATATTTGTACATATAAAACTGGTGGCAAATATATATATATATATTTTTTTTATTTATCAGGCGATCTGCATGTAACTTGCACACCTTACTGAACCCATGCCTATCTACAAGGGTGCAAATTTTGAATGATATTGGTCAACATCAACCTCAGCTAAAGGTGGCTGAACTTTGACCTTCGTTTGTGCAGGTAAATATTTTACAATTTTATCTGATTTCACAAACTTTATTTATTATTCAATTTACATGAAACTTGCACATTATATGTAGAGTTTATGCCTCTAAAACATTGTGGTGGCTTTTCTTTCTACGTAGATTTATTGATTTTATAAATATTTATAAATATCATATTGTTGCATAGGATTCTTTGAAATTTACAAAATCTGTATTATTGCACTAAATACATCTGGGATAAAAATCTATCAGACAAATCTTTATTATATAGTAAGGTCATAGCTAAGTGTCGTAGAACTGATTTCGGTTCACAATTGTGGGCTGTGAAATGATTTGAACATTGTCTAAAAAAACGTTTTTTTTTCTCCCTCTCTATTTAGGCTGCGATGCTGAAACTTGGCCCAGTTGCAGCACCTTTCACATGTATCAGGATAATAATTATTTCAATGCCCTACAACAAGTTTCTGTTCCCATCTAGACAACCCCTTCAGACGCCCCAACTTGATGATGTTCGCACGATAGTGCAAAACGCGGCCATATCTCTGGAAGAAGCGTCGGACCAACTCCTCTGGGAACCCGAAAAACAGCCCTCCCCCCTCACAACCACCCATTTCACTGACTCGCTGCGATCCAACACACGCACAGATCTCGCACCGCCAGGTAACAGGAGAGTCACTTCATCGTATTTCTTAACTATGTCCTGGAACACCACATCGCCACAGAACCGCACCAAAGTGCGGTGCCCTCCAACCAGCTGTACACCCTTAACGTAAGTTACCACCACACACAGGACGTCCAGCAATGCCACCTCACTAAAGAGTTGGTCACGTTCCCAGCAAAATTCAGCTCAATTGTGAGTGTGCATCTCACAGGCGCCGAAGGCAACGCCATACCACAGGCCTCCACGGCCCCGGGCCCACCAACCCAGCAAGGCTAAAGCGAGAGTGAGCAGCGACAGCACAAACAACCGTTTCAGTCGCTGGCCGAACCAGCACCTATTTGTATTTGCAACCCGTCCTCGACTCAAGTCCATTACATCCAGTGGTCGACCCCACAGACGCATTCATAAATTTTAACATGCTGTTCATTCAAAACAGGAATTTCCTCAAATATAAATTAATATTATAATATATTAGCATATTGTGCATATATATAGGCATAAGTATGGTTAGGTTAGGTGTTTAGGCTCTGTTGGCGATTATTTGTATTTGTAGTACGTGGGTGAGGCATTTACAGCGTTGTGGTTCGAACAAAATTCGTCAGTGAAGCACTTGTTCTGGAAGTGTTCGACGAAATCAGTTGCGAGTCATGTGTAAACCGTTTTTCATTCATAAACAGGGGGTTTGGCGGGTGCATGGAATCACTTTCGGGTCTTTGTCTGGAGGACGGGCTGTGTATTTGTAGTACGTGTTGAAGCATTTACAGCGTTGTGGTTCGAACAAAAGTCGTCAGTGAAGCACTTGTTTCGGAAGGGTTCGGACGTCATCAATTGTGAGTCGTGGGTAAACCGCTTTTCATTCATAAAGAGGGGGTTTGGCGGGTGCAAAAAATGTACTTTGGCCTTTTTTTTTATGAGGACGGGTTGTTGTATTTGAGATACGTGGGTGAAGCATTTTACTTAAAACTGGGTATCATTCGGTTATACTACTGAATAGCGAGTTGAAAGTGTAGTGTCCAACTCGTTATTACGAGCATAACGAGTTGGATAATACTTCACTACAACAGCTCGGCTTCATCAACAAAGGCCAAATGTTCATTTAATGCAACAGCTAAACACCCTGTTTATGAATGAAAAACGGTTTACACACGACTACCAACTAATGTCATTCGAACATTTCTTGAACAGTGCTTTGCTGACGACCTCTGTTCGAATTGCATCTTTGTAAATGCTTTACCAACGTACTAAAATTACAAATAATTGTCAACAGAACCAAAACACCTCATTCATCCTATTCTAGGCTTATTATCTATATAATTTTTTTTAATATACATTAATATTAATTCATATTCGAATGTCGTTCTATTTTAACGGTAAGTTAAAATTTATACATACGCTTGTGGGTCTGGGATCAGCTTTGCCAAGCATAATCTAAGGATAGGCTTGAAGCTTCTGTCTTGAATCAAGTTTCAATAATATGGTTATTGGTATACAGTACACATATTGAAAGTGTGGATATATTTAGGGACCATATCAATTTTAACAATAGATGAACATTTAACTTAAGAATTTTCTCAAATCTTTACAAAAATTTGCTTGGAAAAGCATTTAATTTGAAAAAAATCTTGGTAAAACAATCTCTAAATTAAATATGTTTGAGTTTGAACAAAGGTTGAAAGCGCTACTTATTACATTTTTAATTGTATTCATATTAAATGGTTAATGACAAAACCTAAATAATGTAACAATCGTCCAATCAATTTTAGTTTATGATAAACAGATGAAATTAATTGAACACCAATATTCGTAATTAATGAGTCAAGAAATTATATTTTCGAATGAGCTGCAGCTTAATAAGAATCATATAATTGTTTAGATTTCAAGAGATAAACTTATCCATGTGTTAATGATCATCAACAATTTTGAAAGAATCCTCTACATATCGATTATACAAAAACTGGGTTTAAATCTAAGGAAAATCTATTGAAATTTTCTGAAAATTATAAAGGAAAACTTTAGTAGAAGAAAGAAAGTCAAGTCAAGAAAGTCAAGAAAGTCTTTAGTCAAGAAAGTCAAGAAAGAAGCCCACTTTTCTATTCAAATCAAAATAACAACGTTGTTCTGGTGTTAGACAAATTAAATAAGTAAACTTTAGTAGAAGAAAGAAAGTCAAGTCAAGAAAGTCAAGAAAGTCTTTAGTCAAGAAAGTCAAGAAAGAAGCCCACTTTTCTATTCAAATCAAAATAACAACGTTGTTCTGGTGTTAGACAAATTAAATAGTTTATTAAATGTCTCTCAGCATAGTTTAGCAAAATTGCGTTCTTAAACAATTTTGCTAACTTTCTGTTTAAACGTATTGGAGACAAGAGACAACAGAGACAATTGTTTATCTTTATCTTAATATATACAATACTGTTCCCATAGCACTGATGATCAATCTTAGTTATACTGTTGCTAGACTTGGTTATACTTCTCTTTATCATCCATTCAATATGCTGTTGTTAGGCTTGACTATATACTCCTCTCTCCCTTCCTTCCAATTAACATACTTTTGATAGACTCATTTGTTACTCCATTTCATTAAACAACTCTTTGCACACTTAGCTATACTGTTTTCTCCATCCATTTCATTAAACATAAATAAACTGAAGTCACTACAGCACCGGCATAGGATTGCTAACCATAAGAAAATTGGAAATAATTAACTAAAAAGTATTTTATGAAAATACACATAATTATCAAGATGCAAATTATTCACTCTGGGAAAAGTTCATTATTCCAGTAATGAGAAATAATGTTAGGTCAAGCAGTTCAAGTCTCCATGACACAGTGATAATAACATGGCTCACTCACGATCTCAATAAAAATACTCTACAGGTTCGGCAACGATATGTGATATTTTACAATAGTTACCAGTGCAACAAGGTCTCAAATATTCATGCTTTTCTTTGAACAAATAAAAGAAAACGTACCAAAATTTTGGAGGAGCTAAAATATTTTCTTACAATTTGTCGCTGCCTAGTAGTATTTACACCACATCTAAAGAGTTAAGCGGTCGTGTAGGAAACCTGTAGCTTGTAAATAGTAACATCATATTTTATGAGGATTTTTCACTGTCGTGTAGGAAACCTGTAGCTTGTAAATAGTAACATCATATTTTATGAGGATTTTTCACTGTTATATATAAATTTGTAGTGTTGTTCCATTTAATGAATTCCTCGCCACATAAAAATAGGGGGTAAAAGTCTATTGAATAATATAAATAATAATGATGATATGATAAACAGTTGGTCGACTTACTCCTGACGTGTTAGTGTCTCGGGAGATGTATATTGGTGTCAGTGCGTCTTATTAAAGCAGGTCATCTTCAGGTGCCAACCAACGTGACCGGCTCGTAGTTTGTCATAGGTTTTATTACAGATTCTTGTCAACACTTGTCAAGACTTTTCATGTTACTTTTTAATATGCATTCGGCACTGTTAAACTGTAATTTGAAATCTTTTGATGTATTTATTATGTAGATAGCAGAGTCAAGTAAATTTAGTTCACTGTTGCCATTAATGTGTATTCATGTTATAATTTATATATAGTGTGAGGACATTAATATATTGTTCAAGAAACTTGTATATGTGTTGAGGGTTAGTCTTTCCCACCATGATATATATCTAGACCCCCAAAGCTCTAGACCACAAAGATATGGGCAGAAATTTGTATTATATATTCATGTGAGGCAACATTGACCTGCGCGAAACACTGCGCGTAATAGTGGCTTTAGAAGAATGTAATTACTATGCTATATATCCTCACAATCCCAATGCACCTTCTTGTATATAAATAAATAAATAACAATATGAACGCTGCCACGGCATCACCCTGGATTATTATATTTTATGGTCACTAATGTACATTGATTACCAATAACTTATAACCACCTCAAACACAACAGTTGGACGGAACATACAACCCAACCCGAATTTATTGCACAACCCGTATTAGTTTAGTGTACAGCGCAATCCGCTATTTATTGTACAACGCAACCCGTATTATTGTATAGTACACCCGTATAATTGTACAATTCAGCCCGTATTTACATTCAACGCAACTCATTTTTACATTACTAATCTATTTCTCTCCATCGCTCCCTTCCTCATTGTCACCCACCTTTCTTCCCCCTCCCATCTTTCTTCTCTGCTACCCTTTTTTCTTTCCTCCGACCCTCTCTTCTTCCTTTTCACCCTCTTTTCTTCCCCACCCTTTTTGTTCCTCCTTCCTACTTTCTTTTCCACCCTCTTTCTTTCCCAACACCCTTAATTCGTAAATCAGAATGCTGCGATTCCCAAATCTATTTCCATTTCCATCTCCCGGGGAATTGTCTCATTTCCTATCATCTGGGTGTTGATGTTTCTTTTAACTGTCTCTTGGTTTTCCCCGTGAATCTTGTTTTTCTGTCTCCTGCGTTTATGTTCCTCTCTCCCTGTCTCTTATTTAGCTATATCTCCCTGTATTTATGAATCTTCCTCTACCAATTGCTTATGCTTATCTCCCAGTCTCTTGCTTATATTTCAATCTTTTATTAACCTCCTTCTGTCTTATTTATCTCCCACTCTCTACTTCTTTACCTCCCGCACACTATCATTTGTTTATATCCCTTATCCTGTCTCTTGTTTGTCACCCTCATAGAAAAGTTAAAAGAATAATTAACAGACAGAAACAAATGGGCAGAGTTTCATTCACCTGATGGGCCTGTTCACTTAGCAGTAAATTGGTACCTAGGAGTGAGACAGCTACTACGGGTTGCTTACTGGAGATGTGTGTACGAAACATGTGTAGATAGAGGATATGACAGAACAAATAGTCGGGAGTTGGTAAATTAGACAACCAACAGTTATAAAGGCGGAGTCCAAGAGCTAACAGCTCGATCCAGCAGGCACAAATAGTAAACATATATACCCACACTCACAAAAAGGCTTTCATAAGAAACGCATAACAAAACAAAGTTTTTGGTGTAATTAAAACGGGTAATAATTGGTGCAGCCTTGAGGCACGTGTACAAGGGAGCTTGACGGTTGAGTGGACAGTGCTTGGGATTCGTAGTCCTAAGGTTTCGGGTTCGATCCCCGGTGGAGGAGGCGGAAGCATATGGGCAGAGTTTCTTTCATCCTGATGCACATGTTCATCTAGCAGTAAATAGGTACCTCGGAGTTAGACAGCCGCTACGGGCTGCTTCCTGGGGATATGTAACAAAAAGGAGGCCTGGTCGAGGACCGGGCCGCGGGGACGCTAAGCCCCAAAATCATCTAAAAAAGCATTGAGAGCGTCGTGCACTTCTTGTGTTGTTAGTTCTAGGCTAGAATATGAAGCCCCAAGAGAGGAAACCTCGTCTAAATGCAAAATTAGAGAACGTGCCGAACTCTGTTTCACTCTTGGGTTTTTAACTG